CTGTCTATAAGATGAGGGTACCCTTTCAATAAGTTCCATGAATCTCTTTGGCCCCATATCTGGATCTGCTGCTACATTGAATAGATACGAATCCCACAATTCCGCAACCCTGCAATGGCTAGCTTCTGGGGTATGGTTTACATGTGAGTTCGATGCCACATATGCTGAAATTATGCTTTCCGTGGTCACCAACTCCATGCAAGAGGTCATTGACTCTGCTCCACTTTCTGGAAGAAGAAAATCCTCCACTTGGGAAAAGTGCAAAAGTGATGTAATCTGGTCTTGCAACTTTGCCTTACTTTCAGTCCTCAACCCCAACTCAAGAGATCTAGAAAGCAACGCAAAGTAAAATCCTACAGGAATTACTTTCCTAGCCTTATCACCCACTGGAAGAAGATCAACAACACCTTGTAGAATCACTGAAGCTTTGCTATCCATGCCACCTTCCCCAATCTTGTCACAAGAACTCTCCCAAAATTGGCGTGTCTTCTTAGAGAGCACCCACTTATTTGCATAGAAAACAATGATTGGACTAACATACTTTTCCTTCATTCCTTGTTTCCTCAAAGACCCTATAACCCTTTTGAATAGGTCAAAGGGTAGAGCAATTAGATCCTTCATCCACAAGTCTTGGCTCACAACATCCTTCATTATTTCACAGCTCCAAGCTTGGGAAGCCAACTCTTCCACTGTCACAGCTGGTGTGTCTCTCCTTCTTTCTGGATCAAGCAACTCCATGCATGCCATGAAGGCAAGAGATTCAATGCAGCGACTCACTATTAACAGATCTTCAGACCAAGGAAGCAGCATCTGGCACCTTTGAAGTGCAATAAGGGTGTCATCCCAACTTTGCAACACAACTTGATTCAGATAAAGATCAAACCGTTCACAAAGATTGCCTGAACAGTGATCTTCAGTCATTTCAAGAAACTCTGCTGCACACCTTAGGGCCACAACATTAAAAGGGTCAATCAGTGTGGAGGATCCATAAATGAACGAGGCAATCATCTCAAAGGTTTCTGGTCCTCCAGGGAAAGTTTCTGGAAGCTCAACCTCAGATGTATCGTTTAACCTCTTCTTGAAGTATCCACTCTTTGAAGCCAAAGGAAACTGCGATTAATCAACACAACATGTAAATTAATAATTAAGGTAGCTAGCAACGCGAAACACTGTTGGATTCCAATTTTGTTTAACTTACTTTATGCAGGTTGAACATCTTGTCTTTAACTCGAACACGGACAGAAACAGGTAAACCAGTCTGTTGGCTCCTGTGACAAAAATTTGAAATGCATGAGACAAATTGTTAACATAAAGAAGAAAATAAGGGAAAAAATGGAATAAATTTCTTTTAGCGTCAAAAAGTTAGTGCTCAAGTTAAAATTAACCTTTTTATATAGAAAATTTAACATAAGAGAACTTTTGTCATTAATTTTAACTTACAGAATAATTTCTCTCATTTTTTATTATTTTTTTATTCTCATAAGTACTCACCGATAAGTTTATCTAAACAGAACCTAATAGCACCTGAAAATGGTATGAACCATGATATAGATATCTTACCATGTGATGACCTTGATCTTGAGCAAGGCTCCAATGTTAGGTGAAGAGAAAGGACTCGAGGCAACAGAATTATCTTTTGGACTCACAGCCTCCATGTTAGTGCTACTTCTGACAATGGCTGCTACTGCTTGCTTGTTCTAGCTGTGACAAAATGAATGAATCTGAGACCTTATCAGGTAGGGAACTAGAGCAGGCAGCAGGGTTCTGAATCTTCTGATGTTAAGGAATGGTGATGAAGTGAGATTTGAGGAGTTTGTCCCCCAACACATTCTTGCAGGCTTGTACTATTAGTAGTAATATTCAACTTGGTGTAGTCAAAGTCAACATGCACACGAGTGAAACTCGAACTCCAAATTTTAAGGCTTCAAAAACGTTCTCGAATGTTGGGAACTTGAACCCTTGGGCTACAACTTGGCGGCCTCGGCCAATAGAATCAGGTGCCTTTTCATGCATCCTAACATCTCAACCTTGCACTTTAAGTTTCTGTATGTACAACCCATACAATCCTACTCCCAAAATTCATATTCATGTACACTAAAGACTAATTAGAAATTGTTATTAGTATTATCATTAAGATACGTATCGTAAGAATTATCAAAAACTAGTTTATATATGTATGTGTTGATGCATAAACTATTTTCTCATATTCATAAGTATTATGTTAACTATTTACATTAGTTAAAACTACTACTCTATTAAAAAAATTTAAGTATTTAAAAATTGTATTTCTATATAATTAATATTTGTTTTTTTAAAAATAATTTTAACTACTACAGCTAAAAATAGTGTATTTATTACAAAATGGGTTATTTTAATAAAATTAGACAATACATTTTTTAACATGTGTGTATACACCTTAAAATACTGTAAATGTGGGATTGAGGAAGTATAATTTATGGCTAATAATTTGAGTCTTTAAGTCTAAGCAACTTATCGAAGGGCTGAAATTTTGAAGCTGGATTGTGTTTGTCAACGTTGAGGCCTTAATTGATGGATGGTGAGACATTTGGGGAAATGATGGGATCAAACGTTACGTTGGATTTGGTTTAGGTTTTGACAAAGAACAGTTGGGTGTATTGGGAAAAAGAAATGAAAGGGTGTGAAATAAATATGGAAGGAAATGATGGGATTAAAATATTTGAAATGAAAGAAGAAGATGAAGTGCATGTGAAGTTTTGTGGTTCCTTTATGCTAATGCCCAAGACGGCACGGCTACTCAAAATTAGGGTGCTTTGGTTATTGGGTTTTGCTTGCTTTCAATTAGGGCACCAACCCTCCATCCCAATACTTACTTTTCCCAACTCTTTCAAAACTACTTGATGCGTTGCTCAATTCCATACTTTTTCTTTATTTAGTTATAATATAATTTTTCTGTGTTTTGCTAATTAAATTTTAATAAATTCAACATCTTATTAATATAAATCTCTAAGTTCACTAAGAGAATCAAGCAAACATTATTCTTAATAAAATTCAAAGAATTATAGGCTAAACTAAGAGATCAAATAAATAATAACATGAAAGGATTTTACGCAACCTACAGAGGTTGGCACCGCTGAAACTACGGTGTTATAGTGTTTCTTGCACACGTGTGCCTTTTATTGTCAGATTGGTGAAGCGTGTTTTTTTTTTTTATTATTATTATTATTTTCGGTGAATTACTTGATTTGATGGTTCTTTAATTCTAATATTTGTAAGTCTATTGTGGCTTTTCTTAATGATGGCTACTGAATATTCATTGCGTATTTTTAATGATTGAACATATGATATATATGAATTCTACTCGTTTTCTGATTCGGAGGCATTATCATTTTTCCAAAGGAATACGAATATGATGCTACTGCCAAATCTTTAATTTGTAGCCAACTGTGCTTCTTAATGTCAAAAATGTTGAATTCTGTTCAATATATAATTATTTTTATGGAGGGATCCTTAAATTTGGAAGAAAAAAAAAATAACTGCCTTGAATATCTTTAAATTTCGGGGGCAATCGTTTATTTTTAATTGAATATCTCTCTCTTACTTTCTCATTACTTTTATCACTCAAATAGTCAAATTTATCCTAAAATGGACTACACGTTTATATTATTCCAAAAATATGTATCATTCTTTTCCTTAAACGAAACGTGCTATAAAAATATATCATATGCAACTTGAATTAGTCCCTCGCATTTAAAAAAAATAAATAATTGTTATGTATATATACAGTATACTTCAGTTCTTCACATTTTAAAAAATATAAGATAATTTATTTGTTAATTTTTCTATTAAAAAATAATTAAATTGATCATGTAACTTGCTCCCAACTCATTTATTTTAAACTACCCATATCATTCACACACTTCTACCTACGTGTCCCTCACTCACCCCCTTTTCCATTTACTTTTTCACGATAAATTTTTAATCCTTAATTATCTTCTTGTAACCTATCAGGTATTAATACTCGTATCCTTACACTCAATACTAATACAGACAAAATTGAGAAGGGACAGAGTAAACATGGGTGTTAAGTGGAGTCGGCACCCCCCAAAATAAAATATTTTTTTTAAAGATATATACATATAAAATTATATAAAAATATATAATCTTATAATATATATAATATTTATGTGTACTATTTTTCACAAGAAAATATTTTTTTAGAGTCATGCATCCCTCTTTTCTTTTTAATTTTGGTGAAAAATATTGAAGAAGATGGTGAAAATGAAATGCAATGGAACAAATGTAAATAAATTATTAGAGTTGGGGTGGGGGATACAAGAGTTAATCATGTGATTGAATTTTCCATATTTTAACAGAATAATTAATGGATGAAATATTTTGCACACTTTAGAAATCTTAATGATGAAATATATACCTTTTTAAAATTTAGGAACCAAGTCACACGGGACTCGAATCGTATGAGACTAATTTGTATTTTTTCCCAAATATACCAAATCAGGTAAAGCTTAGCTTGCTTTCGTATCAGTTTCCATATCCACTAATTAAAAGAAAACTATAGCCATGAAGACAACAAATAAATGTACAGTCAGTGCTTTCCAGCTATTTGTTGAGAATAGTATGACTAATTATATACAATATAAGGAAATGAAATATTTCTATATATATTTCCTACCATGTTATATGTTTCTTTGAATATTTTAATTTATCTCAAAATATTTATTATTTTCAAAATAATAAATATTGTTAAATACTAGCACAATTCACTCACTTTGACACTTTCTTTTTAACACTTTATTATTGACTAAAATTTATTAGAAATTATAATTTTGATAAGTCTCATGTCTCATTAAAAATTAGGGGGAATTTTTTTTTCCTTTTTTTTATGTAGTAACTAAATATGTGCTATCTTAAAAGCAAAAAAAACATGGAGGAAGTGCGCATATTTGGGGTAGAACTACTTGTTTTACATCCTACCTCAAGTGGTATAATGCACTTAGGCGCACACAGAAGAATGTAGGTGCTAGATAAGCATCTAAATTTGATAGTTACAGCTTCAGCTTGTGGCGACACTTAAGATGTTAAGATTAGCAAGACGCAACCAATTTTAAGGAGACCCACCTAACGATTTCACTGTTGAAGCAAGTAAAAGAGAGTATGGCAGAAATAAATGAGGTGAAGCAGCTGAAAAATCTACAAGTGGACTGGCATTTTCTCCAAACAGTATCATCCATAGTTCAGTCCACTGAGGAAGTTATGTACATCCCCAATATAGTGAAACTGGAGTAGAAATGCATGCAGTGCACTAACCAACAATTAGTTGTGGGATACGAATATAGTTGGAAGTAAAAAAAGTCGTTGGACTAAAGGGTCAAACAGTGAATTCGTGTGATTAATGAAGGCATGAATCAACTGATAGGAGTTGATTCTTCATCATTTTTGAGTTCATAAAAGAAAGGATCCTTAAGGAGATCCGTGGCTGAAGGTCTTGCCCTTGGCTGTGCTATGCACTTCTCAATGAATGCTTTCAACTCAGGATCAGAAACTTTGCTCAAGGCCTCAGGCTTAATTCCCATGGTGACCTTTTTGTATATCTTGGCCACACTGTCACATTCACTGTAGGGTATCTCCATTGTAACCATTTCAAGCAAACACATTCCGAAAGAGTAAATGTCCACCATCTCAGTGTAATCTTCCTCATACAGCTCGGGTGCCATGTACTCCGGTGTCCCTAAAATTGAATGTGCTGCATGGTTCCGTCCCACTATTGCAGCCAATCCGAGATCACCAATTTTCACCTGCAATAAGCCCAGCCGAATACATTTTAGTCTCAATAATTAAAAACATTTTATTTTACACTTTAAAATTTTTAAAATTTTATTTTTAGTTCTTAATTATAATAAATAACAAAAACTAAAATAAAATACTTTTAACAATAAAAATTAAAAAGTGAAATTAATGAAACTATAAGAATTAAAAAGATAATCTTTTAAAAATTATTTCTAAAATAAGTCAATCTAGCATAGGGGGATAATTTCTCATCTTTTTCGGCTTTTATCTTGTTCATCATCTTCAATTCTACACTATGTTGTATGCCTTGCACCACCTTCCACTAACTGTTTTTTGAAAATTGAAACCCAAATGCATCTTAAACAAAAATGATATTTGCATCTAATCAACCCTCTTCATTTTTCTCTATCTATCTATTTCTATCATATCATAGTATCTATCATACTTATATATTTTTTTATCTCTCTCCATAGGTGTCAAATAACACATTGGGTGTCAAAAATTACTTTTGATTTTCTAAATGTAAAGTAAGCTGGTAAGAAGAAAAACAGGCTCATAAAAGCTGTTAAATGAGAAACTGAACAGCATGTCCATTGCTTAAGAAGAAGAAAAAAACTTTTTATTTTGTTGACCAATAGCAGGAGAAGAAAGGAAAGCAATTACCTGGCCAATGTTGCCGTTAACAAAGATGTTACTGCAATTGAGATCCCTGTGAATGATGCAGGGGTCATGCGTGTGAAGGTACTCCAACCCCTCAAGGACCTGTTTGGACCATTTCTTGAAGGCCTTAATGGAGACATGGCGATGCTTCTTGCGGTAATCCCTGAGGTTCCCAGAAGTACAAACCTCAGTGATGAAGTTGATGTTGTGGTGCTCATTATCCTTCCACACACTGTAGCACACAATGATGTACTTGTTGCTGAGGGTGCTCAGCAAGTCAACCTCAGAGTGAAGGCGGTTGATGAGAACGGGGTCTTCGCTGAAGTTCCTCAGCCGAACCTGATTCCACGCCACCTCAATGCCTTCTTCCTGATCGAAGGCTCTGTAAACCTTCTTCACTGCACCACACCCTAGCAGATCGCTGTAACGCCCAAACCTACCCGTTGGATCAACCTCCGCAAACGCTTCCACTTCGGTATCGCAACTGTTCGATTTCTCTGCGGGCATTTTCTTTTCTCAATCTCTCTCTCTCTCTTTCTCCTAACACAACACCACACATCACATCACATCAATTCAACTAAACTAATTCTATCCCTGTTATATAAATTTAGTAAAATGAAATTGAATATTATAGAAATTCCATTATTAATGTGCATGAAATGAAAAGGGAAATAGTGGTTTATGTAAGTAGAAAGAGGTTACCTTGCTGAAATTGGGAATGTGGAAGCCTCGGCCAAGGGTGGAGATTAAATACGGGAAGGGTGATGTGGTTGGAGAGATGAGGTGGCAAATGCAATCTTCTTTTCGTTTACTTTTGTGTAATTTTAGAGATCGTTCCCATGACGGAAAATGGTAATGTGATGAGAATCAGTGCATCTGGAATTGGGTTCACGTGAAGAATGGGGAAACATTGCTCTCCAAACTAAAGTTTCAGCCTTTCAGGCATACCCCGTGCTCAAGTACCAACCTTTCAAACGTCATACTTCCAGATAACTGCTACCCTTCATACTCGTGTGATATTCAAGATTTTTAATTTTATTTTCAATGTCAATTCTCGCGCACTCTACATGACACGTGCTACGTTATTATGCCTCTAAATTGCTTTCTTAGGGGTCAGTTTACGTGAAATTCATGTCACCTCTAATGGTCAAATACTCCAATTCAACATGTTTAGATCCATTGAAATTCTTGTTCTTTCTATAGAGCAATGTTGTAGTCTTGTGACTTTGTCAGGCTCTGATTATTAATTTTGCAAGACCACGCACCCACAAACAACTAAAAATAAACAAGTATCTCAGTTGAGCACTTGAGTTTTATCAATAGATCTAATTTCGGAACGAGTAATCCACCTTACCAATGGAATGCAATCAAGCCTTTCAATATCACCACCATTTTCTTGATACTTTAAAATAATCTGCTCGCAAATACCATTGCTCCTAAACGTACAGAACAAATGATCGAAACTTCAGCAAAAACTAAAATAATGTAGTACAACTGGGGAAAAAAAATAACATTTAAAAATTGGTTTAAATACAATTACTTCATTTTCATTTCATTAGTGATATTGATTCTCGCACGCTCTTCACCACACACATTACGGTACGGCTCTCTCTCTCTAAGATGATTTATTAGCGATCAGTGGACATGAAATGTGCATCAAAGTATTTAACAGCTATATCAACTTATTGACATGTCTAGTCCAGTAGTCAAATGCATCAATTCGAAATATTTAGATTTGTTCGAAGTTGGAACTCTTATTCTTTTTCTGGAGGTACATTGTTACCGCAAGTAAATAACTATCCCCAGACCCAGTGAATGTCTTATGATCTTTTCATGGTGTGTTTAATGCTTTTCCAAGACTACGCACCTGTAATTTCGCAACATAAAGATATAGATAAACATGGAACATCTCTCAGGTCTCTCACAATTAATGGCTCTGATTGTCGCTTGACCATTGTAAAATACTCCTCAGCTAGCATGTCTTGCCCTAAAACAAATCACATCTCCTATGGAAGCATCCTTTCACTAGTTGATATTAATCGTTTGTTTTCTTTAGATTAATCCTTTCACTAGTTGCTATTAAGCTGATGCAATTGAATAACTGAAAGAGATTAACATATCTATACATCACATTGAGGCTCAACAAATTCTTACCCTACCCTTTATCTGATAATAATTACTCTAAAACGTTATAACATCAAAATAAGTATCAAAATGCCATTCACACCAATTCATCAGTTTCATGTGGAATTTGGCTACATGACTGATGAGTGCACAGATGCATCCAGAAAGAACCTACTTTATTAAGCAAAAAGTGAAACTTTGCAATAAGAACAAAACCTTTCTAATAGGCAAAAAAGAATTAAGATAATAACATCATAGCTAATCTAATATACAACAATGCCTCTGGCTTAGCGGGGATTGTCTGAAGAACTTTAATCAAAGAGATTTTGCACATAGACAACCGATAATCAGTGAGTAAAAGTAAAACTAAAAGGATCAACAAGCTAAGCAGAGGCTACAAAATTCAGTATATATCATTCTCAGTTTGTTCTTCCTCTCCAAATTTATATTGCTGGCGTGCAAATTTAACACATTATCAAAAGGGGGGAACTTACAGCACGGTCACTTTATCATGGTTTCAAAATATGTTATACCATATCACCAGGGAGGATTGGAGCCCTCTCTAACAGATGGAGACCTGGAAACCATACTCTCATCTCTACCAAACCTCGACACACTTCTACTAACACTTCTAGGAGTCGGCAATGCAGGAGTAGAACCGCGGTAACTTGCCCGAAGTGTTTCATCAACAGAAGACGAGGACTTAGCAAATGCATTCCTCACAAACTTCTGAGCAGCAGGAGACAATGTCCGCATGCTTGGACTAGCACTTCCACCTCTAACAGGTGAGGCCAATGGGGGCTTGCGAAACATCTTCGACCTCTCCCTCAGCTTTCGTGCAGCCTCCCTAGAAAGAGAGTGCGCCTTTGCATCCCTTGCCGGTGCAGAAGGAATCTTATAATGAGGTCCATCAGCACTACCACCAATGTCAAGAGGCGTATCCTCCAGGTCCAACCTCAGCGGAGTCCCCTCAATTTCTCCCCAAGTAATAAACGGGGATTCGTCAACACCCGGAGCAGGGGACGGCGTCTTTACAAAGCTATAACCATTTTCAGCTTTCTTCCCAGACTCCAAATAAAACGGATTCGGAGTCTTCCTCAAATCGTCCAAATCATATTTTTTTAACTTATCCCCTTCTCTAAGAGACATAGGCGCCGGCGTACCGCCGGCAACGGGTGTATATAGCACCTCAACAGTTCCATCATCTTTCGGCCTAGAATCCATCATCTTCCCATGAAACCTAGTGTTCCCGCGATCAATCTCCTTCGTGGCAGCTTTAATTCTAACAGCCATTTCTTCCTCAGTCAAGGGGACCTCACCCCTATCAGCAGGATGATACATCAACAAATTCTTAGCAGTGTAATTCCAGCCTTCAAGGGTACTCGGAGGCTGATAAGAGGTTCCATAACCATCAGTAATCCTATCCCTCTTCACATCCTCAATACCCTTCACATCATCATCCAAATAACCAAACCTCTCTTTCCTCTTCTTATTCACTTTCACCAGAATCTTCGAGAAGCTGTGATTGTCCTCACTCGTGTACCTCCCCAGAAACTGATCAAGGCCGAGCGAGGTGTCCACCGCGCCATCCCCATCCTCTTTGGTCTCGGGAACGGGAAAACGCGGCGTTTTGGGGGATTTTAGGTCAAACTCATCGAAAGGTGTAAAATTTCTAACGAAGGTGGAACCAGGTGTGTGGGTGGTGGAATTGGTTACCTTTGCGGCGCCGCGGCGTTCGAGGATCTTCAATTGAGCCTCGCGGATGACGACGGGGTCGCCGGTTTTGATGGCTTCGAGCCAGTCGAGGCGGTCGCGGAGCTTCGAGATGTCGGGGAAGTAATCGCGCTCGATTATCTTCTCCAAGGCTTCTACGTACGTGTCTTCGTCGAGTACCGTAGGCTTCTTCGCACACGATAACGATGACGATGATGGTGGTGGTGGATCGTTTGGGTTTTGCGCCGGAACCTCTGAAACGGACGGCGACGGCAACGAGATGTGGAGCGGCGAGTGGCCTGGAGATTGGAGCATTTTTCTCGGGGTGCCGAGAACGATTGATTGATTGGTTGAATTGGTTAGAGCAGGTTTGGAACTCGAATCTGCGAGTTAGGGTTAGGGTTTGATTTGGGGAAGAGTTTCAGGTTTCAACACGGAAACTAAGCGAGATTGGAACGTGTTAACAGCTTTCCCAAACCGTGTTTTTTCGTTTTATAAATTAACAAAATCAATAATTATCTTCTTTTTTTTTATATATATTCTTAATAGAAATTCGTTTTATATAAAATAATTTTAAATTGTTTAATGATAAAAAAAATTAAGTAGTTTTAAATTATTTATTTTTAATACACAGTTTCTTGTCTTAAATATGGTTTTAATCATTGAATTTGAGGAAAAAATTATTTTTAATTTTTTAAATTTAAAACTATTTTTTTTATTTCTATAATTTTAAAATTTTATTTTAGTCCTTGTATTCAAATTTGATAGAAAAATTATCAAATATTATCACATAAAATCTGTATCGTTAGCAAAAATATAATATTAAATCTAATCAATATAATATAATTATTTCAATATGTCACTTTCATATATATTATTAGTAATAGTGATTTAAGAGGTTAAGATAAAATTTTAATAAAATTAAAGCATAAAAATAACAATTTAAAATTTGATAAATAAAAAAAATTATCCTAAATTTGATAGAGTAAAATCATTTAAATTCCATTGTTTTTTATAAAACTAATATTTAAGCTTTTATTAAAATTTATAATTTATTGGACTTATGACTATCCCTGCTGCAAAACTTTATTACTTTTTATCTAATATTATATAATTTTATTAAAATTATTGGTAATGAGGATATGATATTTATGTTACTTAACTAAATATTAAGGTTGTAGTTTTGTCTTGGACATAAAATCTCAATTAAAAATATCACTTTACTCTTAATAAAAATTCACATGATGGATACAAGTTGTATCTCTTAAATATAAAAAAAATCATATAATTTTTTTTATTTGCTATTATTAGGGCTATATAAGTTGGAGTTTTTTTAAAAAAGAAAAACTGAGTTAGATTTTTCTTTAATCTTTAGATCTTTTAATAACTTGTCGCTAAATATATTGTATAATCTATTATTTAATATTTGTATTTATGATATTATATATGGACACATCTTATATTTTATTGAGTATGTGTTGATAAAAATTTTGTTTGGCTTTTTAGAAAAATATTTATTGTACAACCTCAAACGTCTTTCACTTAATTATTTGTGTGCATACCAAACATTGATGTAATTTTTTCCCTCTCGAAATATCTTGAAATCTTGTTTTTATTTTTATAAAAATTATATATA